GACAGCTGGTGATGGCAGTAAACTGGATTATTTTCTCATGTTGGACCTGTCGAGAGGTAGGTCGGTGCCACGCTTGACTTTCCAATGGTGGTTAACTCGGGTATTTGATCAGTTTGTTCCAGTCCAATAGGCATGAACTTAGCTTCACTAGCCTTCATCCTTTGCTCAGATGACTACATCCATTCGTTAGATCTCTTCGAGATTCGCGCCACACATTCTTGACGTACATTATAAAAAATCACTTTCAAATACTTGGATTTAAAAACCACAAATGATGAAAGCAAAACCATTTGACATGTCATGGATTCCGTCTAACTAGTTAGCTCCAAGTGGTTAAAGCCCAAACAAATGATTTATCATGACCGACACACGAATCATTTATGTTCAGGGTTATGGATATAAATATATATTTTTTTTTTCTCAAGAAGTTGCTTCCCTATTTTTAAAAGCCATCTTAATTCTTACATATTTACATCTTAAATATCACAACTTATTTATTTATATATATGCCACTCAAACCCTTAATATCATATTTAAAATATCACAATTATTAATATTTCAAAAATGACATTGAGCCTTTTCATCCATAAGCTTATGATAATAAGGTTTTATAAATATAAATATTAAATATCTAAATTCAAAAAAAAATTGTTATATGTAAATGTAAATTTACAAAAAAATAAATAAATAAATAAATAAAAGTTCAATTTTACCTTTCCTATGATTCCTTCCCTTTGTCTTTCTCAAAGCAGTTAACACAAGGCACTGTGGATAAGATCCGAAGTGTCGGTGGCATTTACTAATTTTTTCTAATTCCTTTTAATTAATATTAAAAATTGAAAGATTTACATACACATTAATAAATTGTTTTATATTTACATATCGACCATCTAAACTTCTAATATCAAAAACAAAACTCATAAATTTCGGCACAGAATCATTTTTGGGCAGCTGCAACTATTTAAAGAAACACAAGAATCGACACAAATTCAGAAGAAAATATAGAGATTTAATGATGTTCGGCAAAGATGTCTTTGTCATTGAGAGCAAAACAACGGTTTTTTCACTTCGCTCGCGAGTTCCGCTGTAGCATCTGTCCTTTATCTGATATATGAGTTATACCTAACAAATACTATTTTAAAAAAATTAGGATTATTATTATAAAATTATTTTACTTCATAACAAGAATATAATTCAAATGAAAATTATTTTTATATTTTTAACGGTGAGAATTTAACGGTTATTATTCAAAATTAATAATCTAAACTATGGTATATCAAACCATGGTTAGTTTGGTGGTTAGCTCCATCAAGAAAAGTACAGTAACCCGCCAAAAGCTGCGGCAGGGGAA